TATATTAAATATATTTATATATGATATAATTTATATGAATATACATATATACATGTAAATATTTTCAAAATATATGCTGTGTGTGTTTATATATACACATAATATACACCGTACACACATATATTATGTAAACAAAAACTTTTATTTTTGGATGCGATTCATCTTTTGACAGCACTAATTTAAATTTAATATTCTAATTTAACAAAATTGTAATTAAATCTAACATTTTAAATTTTATCCAGACTGGGTTAAATATTTCCAGCTTTAAAAAAAAAACAAAAAAAAAACACAACATTACAATACAAATATCACTTTCATATAGAACAACTAAGTGATGCTTCAGAGACTATCACAAGTTACTCACAAATTTAATTACAAAATAAACATAACTGTAATCCGTTACAGTTACCGAGAAAAAATAGTGTAATTAAACTAGTTACTTATGAAAACGTTAATGATTACAAAGGGGGTTACATCTTAATATTTTCTGTAAAAAGTTAGAATATGTTGAATAATATTAATTTGTTGCTTTGCCTGTTTTTAATGAGCACGAGGCCGTTTAGTAAAGCGATGCCATTCTGATGCTTTTGCCTGGTTCTCTTGTATGAATTTGCAGCACACCAAGTCTACCAATTACATCAATCCACATTGCTGCTGAAAGCTTTAGACTACAACCTGTGTAAAAGCTGATTAACTAGGAATTTAGAAATAGTTACACTACTTATTACATTAAGTAGGGTAACTTGTAATCTGTAACATTTACAAAGTAACCTTTCCAACACTGTTCAGCCTTGACATTCATAGACGTCAGCAAAATACACTGAACACACACACAATTCACAACAGTAACCAGTGTGTATACAAAGACATACAAATACACATCAGCGAAAGCCAAATATAGAGTCATCTCACACCCACACCACACCGCCACTGACAGAAATATCACTTTTATCTCTCCGTCTAACTGCATGTGTATTGGCCACCGTGTGCAGACAAGTTGCTAAACAACAGGGGGATTTCTGCTTCGTCATACGTGACGTTCTGCTTGAGGAGGGAAACCCACATGCTCACTTCCACACACAAACACACATGCTGTGATAATGAATCCCTGCCCCGAGAAGAGCTGCGTCTACTACCTCAGCAGTGCTAAAAAGACCATTTATAGCCCTCTAAATGCATGCCGAATTAACATAGCGCTTCTGACGGGTGATTAAAATAACACCCAGATACTTTTCATTCTACATTCTTTCCATTTGGTGAGACGCATTTGAATTGCATCACAGCCCCTTCAGAGTGTTTTTATTCTGTTTACCACGTTGCCCAACACTCCCACTATAACAAGGGTCATCGGTGTTGGACGCTGATCCACATTTTCCTGGCAGGAGCTCTGGGAAACCGCCTGAGATTATTTTCGCCTTGCCGTACCGCGTACGTGTTTCTACGAAAACGCACATCCTATTTTGTGTCGAGGGGTCAATCAAGGACACAAAAGGTGTGCTGTTGTTTGGGTCAATGACAAATAAGAGAACCAAAAAAAATCTACTTTTCTTGGCAATGTACTCCTTGTATTCCTGTTGATTTCATATGGTTTTGAGAAATATTTACAGAATTTGACACTAAAAATGTCATGTGGCGTAACCATCAAATAAAAAGTAATACCATTTTTTTCCTTACGCCTTGAACATGCGAGTATACAAATCTTAATCATCTTTTCCAAAAATGTTTATAAATGTATGTTTCAAGGTTTCATGACATTACAAATATCAGGAATTATTAAATTATATATATCATTACTTTTTGGGGAGTCACACCACATGACATTTTATAACCTGAACTGATCTTTTCTTGCCAAAATATTTTGGATATTTTAAGAGACTTATTGACCTTGACACAAAGTCATGAAGGAATCTATAATATAATCTCTTGTTTCTGCATGTTGGTTGCACCACATGATTTATGATAATATTATTATTATAAGATAATGACAACCAACTTAAGTTTTTCTTTAAGACCCTCATTATTTTAATGATGATTGTTTATTTGATATCAAGACAGTTGTAGCACCCTGGCATTTTTGACATGAAACATTTTTTTAATGAATATTTATATTTATATATTTATATTATATTTTAATTTGAACATCATTTCATTAATAATTTAAAATGAATTTGAACTCATTTTATTTGGGCACCTAATGAAAACTGGGCATAATCTTGTAATGGACACTAAAAATAATACAGAAGTTTGGCCAATTCTGTGTTCTCACCAGTGGGGAGGAAGATGGTTGTTCCCTGCTTCACCACACATTTGTAACACTTGTCGACTTTATCGCCAAAGAATACTTCGCTCTGATTGGGTGATGAGCTCCAGGACTCATATAGTGCAAGGTTAGCCTTGGTCGGCTTGATCAAGTAGAAAATCTTCTCCCCCTGCAAAAAAAAAAAAGCAGCCTTATCAGCGCTTATCACTTATATAACAGTAACACCACATGACCGGATCTCCACAAATTGCCATTTAGAAACCATTTGGATGGCGATATACAAAAGTACACTTCATAAAACAGATTCACGTCATCAAACAGGCCTCAGTTCTTACCCAGAGAACATGATACCACACTGAAGTTCCTCCAAAATCGATGTGGAAGTCTGTGTAACTGTTTTTCATTCCCATGAGGCAATACTTCTGCACAAAAGGTTTGGGGAAGAACGAGTCATCAGGCCAGTAGTTCTCCACCCAGGACATCTTCCGCACAATTTCAGGAACCTCCACCAAATTGCCCATCCTAAAACAGATCAGAAGACAAAAATCAAACTTCAAACAAGCATTTATATGTGTTGAATGTATAATGAAACAACACCTATTTGAATGCTAGTTAAGTGTTATCACTTTGCAATTTTAACCAGTAAAAAAATAAAAATTAAGTTATGTTGCATAGAAATGAAAATGATGGTTTCCCACACAGACATACCTTGTATCAGAGAACTCCAGGCTGATGAGATTCAACACTTTTGGTCGTTCAGGTTGGTAGTAATATTTCACGAACTCTCCCAGCTTGAGCTTGCTGTCTGCCTGTCTTGCGACATCAATCACATCAATGACTTTATTTGCACCTGGAAAAAGAAAGTGGGACATTTTCAAATTGGGTGTGTGTTTACAGGACAGATTTTCTCATATATAAATTCTCTGTTATGTCGGTTTCACAAACACAAAGTCTGTAACAAGGCTTTTGAGAGACACAGCTGCAGGGCCGCAAATCATGAATGACAGCTGAGGACCGGAAACAGCACTGGACAGCTGGCGGTGAAGTGACTGCAATCCCTCAACACACACACAGCTGGCCAGCGTCTGATGACAGGGAACAGCTGGACGAACAGTCCCACAAACACATAATTGAGAAAGGCTCAAGGCCAAATTTGGGAACTGGACATAACTGCAAAACTCTGCACTGCTTTTGAATCCAAGCTGATATGTTTTTATGTTTTAGTAATTTTATGTGCTTTTGTAATTTTAATTAGTTTATAATTTCTATATAGCTTTAACTTTTTATTTCAGTTTTAGTATTTCAAATTCAAATTCCAAGGCAGCATTTCTAATTTTCATTGAAGTTAAGTTTTTCATCCAATATTTTACTTTATTTTAGCTTTATTATTACATTTCAATTACAGAAAATTAGCTCCAAAAATGACAAAATTTCCATTATCTAACAAAAGTAGACCATACAACTAGTACACTATATTCAAAGTCTTCCATAACTTTTCTTGAGGAACAGACTGAAATTTAAGACAGTTCCAGTCCCCATGAACTTTCATTATATGGAAAAGAGCAGCTTGAACACCCTGCCAAACCTCTTATTTTATGTTCCACTGAATATTCCAGATTTGGAATGACATGATGATGTCAAAAATTTTAGGTAATTATACCTTTGACTTTTGTTTAAAATTGTTCGGATAAGTAATGTCGCATACAATTGGTTAAAGTCTGACCACACACACAACAATATGCTTCTCTGGCCATATATGGAAGAATGAGTGTTTCTTATAATGCGTGTTTATCTTTTCTAAGAAAAGAAAAGCAGGTGTAGGGAGAAAATGGAGGAAACGACAGACAGAGAAGGTTAGTGGCCTTTTGTCTGTGCCCAACTGGCTGGGTAACATGATCTGATGGGTGGCCCGCTCCCCCCACTCTTTCTGTCTCCCTCACACACACACACACAACTCTTCCCCTCGACACCTGTTACTATTAAAACACTTCCAGCTTAAAGATCAGCGGCGTGCGAAAGAGGGAGCCATGTAACATAAGTGTTGAGATAAAACAGCCCTATTGGGAATCTGAGCTCAGACTGACTGTGCTGTACAACAGCTTTGTAACTGGAGATGAAATGTTTTAGGCCTAATGTAGAGGAGAGAGAAGATAACCTCCACAGCTGTACAGGAGTTGGCTCTATAGATAAATAGAAAGCTTAATAGAACATTAAAAGAACAGCATTTATTTGAAATATATATGTGTGCATATAAATACATGTGTGTATACATGTATGTATCTATTGCACAAATTTCAGGGGGTCTGGTTATGATTCCAAATGTGTTATTGATCTAATTGCGTCTCTTCTGCTCTAGTGCCCCACTTGCCAGACACTCTCTCGAGCTGTTATCTGAAAGACAGTAAAAGCAGTGTGCGCACACTGAGCTCTTACCCACATAATGCTCCACATCGCTGACAGAGAACGACAGAGGGGGCAGTTTAAGACCCAGTCCATCCAGGTCATGGACCGCTATGGGGTAATGGAAGCCCTCCCTCTCCAGGTAGCGCTGGGTCACCTGGCTCCCCTGCATTGGCACCAGAATCTCATGGCCACTTTGAAACAGCCAAGACACACAGAAATCATTGTAAGTTGTAAATCTTATCAGGTAGGTGCAAATTCCAAAGCCATAACTAGATGTAACTAATGACTGTGATTATATCCTAAAAACACATTAGAAGTCAAAGTAGGAAAGTTCACGGTCTAATCAAGTTTTTGTCCAGAGGTGCTTGTACCTGGCAAAGCTCCTGGCCTGGAGTTGCTGTACAAACACAGCAGTTCCTGCCTGAACGGGGCGTGTGCCATCATTTGGCTCAGTGTAGTCATGCCTGTGCCAGTTGTTGCGCTTTTTCACTGCAAAAGAGAAGGAAAAATTAATAAGCCTAATCCTGGAACACAACAAAAGCAATTTAGAAACACGTGTAGATGCACACACTTACTCATAGAGGGTCCATGGATGGGCTCACAGTTGGGACAGTGATAAACATCGATATCAGCAGCATGGTGCTCCACTACATGAACACAACTGAAAAAAATACAATAAAATTAAATTTAAAAAACGCAGAATACGTACCCTAATATAATTCTGCCACAACCATATGAATGTTGCAGTACCCACTAGCAAAGAACACAAACTAGTCTAATTCTTAAAAATTTAAATTTGAGGTTAGCCAGCATCCTTTTAGCCATTAGCTATGCAAGCAACACATAATTTACTTTTCTTTGGATGAGAACTCATCACTAAACATCACTTCATACACTAATACAACAATAAAACAAAAATATCGATAGTGTCAAGTTAGGGGTGGGCGATATGACCAAAATCTTAGATCACGATACGAGTAATTTTATTTCACGAGATAATGATATATATCACAATATAGTTATTTTTGCTTTAGATATGGTCTTTACAATATAAAATTTTTTGATACCATAGAAATTTCTTAAAGGGGTCATATGATGTGATTTAAATTTTTCCTTTCTCTTTGGAGTGTTAAAGCTTTTGGTGCATAAAGAAGATCTGTAAAGTTACAAAGACTAAAGTCTCAAATCCAAAGAGATATTCTTTATAAAAGTTAAGAGTCAACCACGCCTACCTAAAATGGCTCGTTCTAACACGCCCCCGCATATCTACATCACTATGTGGGAAGATTTGCATAACGCCGCCCAAATGTTCACGCAAAGAAAGAAGGCATAACTTTTATTCTCGCTGTAGTATTGTTCTTGCCATCGCCATGTCGTGAAGGCGCTGTGTGCTTCGTAGTGAAAGCGAAACTACTTTGTTTGGTCTTCCAAAAGAGGACGATATCTGCTTCGTCATGCCTGGAGCTGATCTGTGCTGGTTGCTGAGGAAATACTACAACTTTGCGCTGTGGATCGCCGGATCGGCTTTCACCGTGGACGAAGCGGAATCCAGCCCGGAGTCGTCACATGTCCTTCCGGACGCTCCTTCGTCGAAATCGCCAGGCCGCGCCGTTCTCAAGCCCACCCGCCTCTGCTCACTCTAACCCTCCGGCTGTTCCTCACGCTAGCCCCCGGCCTCTGCTCACTGTAGGCCGCCG